ATCAAGGCCATTAGGGAAAGTTCGACCGTATTTGCAATGGGTTACATTACAGTGGGAACTTATGAACTAAATGAAAAGTTCAATTTGTATATTATAAATTAAACAAGAAATTAAAGCCGTGGCGATTGAAATCTTTTCGCAAGACAAACATGCTCCGTATAGTGTTGACGAGTTTGTGCGTAATGTCCCCAAAGATACAACGACTATACACTCGGAAGTTGTAGCACACCAGTCTTCAGAGTTCCGACGAACAGGAATGGAGACGAGGACTGAGCACTATGTATGTGTGAGGCTATGAGAGATGAGAGAGTTGAGAATGCATATAAGATTTTCCGTATCTCGATCAAGTTGATACAATGTCCTATTTATAGGACTTCCACCTAGGTGGGGAACTCTTAATTTTGTAACCACCAAGCCATTAAAGACCATTCATGGCTGGTTTTGATGACTATTCAAAATTTGTAACCACCAAGCCATTAACAACCATTCATTGCTTGGTTTAATGACAAAACTCTTCAGGTTTAACTTACCATTAATTCACCTCATTACTTCTGAAACATAAGGTGGTGGACAATGAAAGGTCACACGTCCAGGTTCAATGTACCTAGAATGATGTCACATGGGTTAAGTCAAAACTCGAGTCTAAAACCAAATCAATTTGTACACCAACACTTGGTGCATAATTTTGTTGTTGTTGTGACTTCTCTAACTCTCTTTATTATAATAAAAAGAGTTAATTTCATTTAAGAGTTATATGTGGGATATGACTTTTGACTCTTCGAATCCCACAACCAACGTTCTGCGTGTCCATTTATGGCTGACATTTTTTTTTTATCACTCATCGAAAACCAGTTTTGAGAAATTAAGGGGGTGATTGTTTATGAATTTGACTAGTTTTTAATTGGTATTTTTTTACCTATAGTTAAGTTTGAAAAAATTTTGGTATGGTTAGTTGGTAGTGGATATATTAAAATAATATTTAAAATAAAATAATTAAAATTGATATGATGAAAAGTAAGAGAAAATGATTGGAAGTGATGGTTAGTTAAAATTTTGTGAGTGGATAAATAATGAATTAAAGTTGATGTGCTGTATAAGAATGATTGGTTAAATGATTGGTTGGTATTATTTAATTACATTAATAATATTTGAGATAGTGGGGTTGGTTAAAATTGAGTTAAATTTGAGTTTTCATTAAATTTTTTTGAGTTGAGATGATAAACAATCACCCCCTAAGTATACCACAAGCCTATACTCGGAACGCAAAATTTTTTTACACAATTTAAAATTAAATATTTAGCCATTAAAAAATCAGTCAAGGGTCATACCCAATTTATAAACTGATTTTCCAACACAATGCACACATCAAAATCTTCACACAACACAGTAGAATTTTCAGCCATTATTGAGATAATCTTCTTAGGAGTCAAACTTTCCATGTGTTGTGGGCCTTGACATTATAGCAATGAAATCAAACAATGCCCACAGTTGTTTTTTGCATTAATATGATTGGTCCAAAAGGATTATTGGACTTTTGATCAGTTAGTAAGCCTGGGCCAGCAAGAGTGCCGTCTTGGTCAATCCACCTATACTGATAGCCCATTCGGCCCAATGTCAGGTGTATTAGTCATTTGACTATTTGACACTTTGGTTTATAGCGGAAAACCGATCCCCCTTATATGTATTATGTAGTAGGGTTGAGCATGGGACTCGGAGAATTCCGAACCGTTTAGAAAACCGAACTGAAATCACTTTGAACCAAAAAATAACCGTTGACCGTTTGACTTTCTCTGAACCGAACCGAAAAAATAATTGGTACGGTTCTGAAAATTTCACAAATATCCGTACCGAGAACCAAATCGAACCGTCCCATACCGTACCGAACCGAAGAACCAAAATTAAGAACCGAATTATAATATTAGATGTGTTATTAATATATTTCATGTTACCTTTGATCCTATATAATATAGTAATAATAACTATTAACATTCACTTAACTTTCATGCTTACTAATACTTGATCTACAATTGAATTTTTTCTCTTATAAAATAATAGAAAAAATAATATGAAAGGTTAAAGAATTTTTTTAGAAAAAAATATTATATTTTGTTTGAATTTTAAATTTTCAATATTAGTTTCACAAATTTAGTCTTAACTAAAATTTGGAGTTACTTCTAAAGTTAATTTCAAAATAAATTTTTTAATATGATGAATTTATCGATGAATGTTGGTTTTATTAAAGCATATAAAAATTAAATAACTAAAATTTAGAGTTACTTCTAGAATTGATTTCAAAATAAAAACTTCAATATGATGAATTATTGATGAATGTTGTTTTTTTAAAGCATATAAAAATTAATATATAACTAGGTAGTCATTCAAAAAAATCTAAAAAAATAAGAAATTTCTGAAGATCCGAACCAAACCATACCGAACCGTACCATCCCAATAGTCTCGAATACCAAACCGAACCGAAAAATAAAAATATCTGAACCGAACCAAACCGACTTTTTGGTACGGTTCCGGAGATCGAATTTTGAGATCTCCGAACTTTGGTACGGTTCCATAGATTTATCAATCTCCGAACCGTACCGACCCACGCTCACCCCTATTATGTAGTTCTTGAATATGTTGTACAACCTGTGCCTAAGTGGCGGACTCGCATGCTTCGAGATCTTATGTGGTAAATTTCATACATCATTGTTTGGCTTGGATAGATTTTAATTTACTTTCAATTCTAAATTAATTAGGTTCAGATTATCATAAATATGTTGATTAGTTATGGTCATTTTAGATGCATTAATTGTACTTTAATATCATTTATTATTATAACTATTGAATTGTAAATGTATTTGAAAACTTAATAACTTTTGTATTTTTTTTTTATCAATTTTACATACATAATATATGAAATTAATCATCTCTTGATGAACTTTGATTTGACATCCATATTGTATATACAAAAATAAATAAATTAAATTTATCTGTATAATAACAATAAAATTAATTATTAATATTAATTGGAAAAAAAATTATTTATCAATTAATATATTTGTTTTAAAGTAGTTATATGATATAAGTTAGAAAAATCATTATAATATAGCACATGTAAGTCGCACAAGTAACAAGCGTCATTCTAAAATATATTTTCTATAAAAAAATTATTCAAATGTTAAAATACTTTTTCTCATTAATTTTTAAAATATAAAAATAATTTTTTAACAAGCACCATGTAATACACAGGTTATGTACTAATTGAATTAGCTAATAGCCTAATAGTTAATATCAGACTAAATTAACAATGTTAACCAATTCACTGGATTGGTTGATTATGAAAAACTATTTGATAAATAATTATGTGTTGGATGTATAATAAAACTAATTTTACATTCCTCTATTAATAAATAAATAAATAAATAACTGAGCTTTTTCCGAAACTATTTTTTTTAATTTAAAAAGTCATTTTAAGCATTTACTTACCAAACAATTACTACAAGCTTCCATTGGTCAAATATCTCATTCAACCAAAATCATAATTTTAGCCCCAAATTAAAAAACAAGCTAATTTCTTGAGATAAATTCTTCAATTATCTCTCTATTTTATCAACCTTTCTATTTTTCCGTAATATATATACATATATATGTATATATATATATTCGATATATTGAAGGAGGTCGAAGGCCTAATACAATAGCTAAGTTAGAACTCGATAGGGGTACAACACTCAATGATGTAAATCAAACGGACAAGACGTCGCTAAGCTTGCCATATGGTCAATCTTTATTTCGTACAATCATTTATTCAACTTTTTTTGGCAAATATTATATTTCATCACAATTTGAACTATTTTATAAGGAAATTTTAATCTATCCACCAAGATTTTAAAATATTACAAAAATATAATCTATAAACAAATAATTACATCTCTACCTATATGTAATATATAAAATATCTAAATAAATTACCATATATATTCAACTTCCATCCCCTTTTTCGTGGACCTGATTAAGAGAGAGAAAAAAAATAATAACAGACTCATTTATTAATTCTTTAATTCACGTAACTTATATAGAAAAAAAACGAGACAAATCAATCATAAATATTTCTAGTTTATTTTTAGTTTGTTAACATTATATTTCGAGTTTATTTGTAGTTTATTAACAGTATAATTCTAGTTTATTGACAGTATATTTGCAAACAACGAAGTCCAAACCTTTCAGTGTTACCATTCAAACCTTTCAGTTTCATCGTATAGAACATCGTCACTGTTAGGAATTCAACAGAAAAAAAAAAAAAAACAAAGAAAGATAGAACAGAGCTCGACGCTTCCTACTTTTCACGTCATTCTCTATGCAAAGCTTTGTCTAATCCCTTACTCTCTTACCAACAAAGTCAGAATCATAGAATCCTAACGTGCTACCAGGACCAAGAACCTATGTGGATATGAGTGAGAAGTTTTCTAGTGGCTTTCAACGACTGGAGTGTCTAAGTGAAAACCAAACTTGAAATCATGGTCTACATTGAATCTTGGGACGATTTCGTTGAAAAGTCCGTCCAGCTGTTTCATTCCGATCCAGAAAAGATAAAATCTCAATTGCTCCATGTATGAATTTGATTGCACAATAATATGATGGAATGAAAGAGAGATAATGTGCGATTTTTTTGAGAGTAGTATGATATTGTTCAATTTTTTATTTAGGATATATCATAATTCCAATTAATTACACAATTAATTGCATAAGTTTCCTTTAGATATAATTGTAATATATTTTACTTGGTTTGATAATTTTATAAATAAGTATAAATAGGTGTTTAAGTGTAATATAAATCACATCACATAGTAAGGGGTGCAAATTCCTCATTTTGAAACTGCATAGCATTCAGGGTCGCCAACGTCACCACGGCCCAATCTTACTTTTGGGCTTCCCAAGATTCTTGGGCCCAAAACAATACTTTAATCATTTCTAAATCCTCTCTACTTTCTCGGAAAAGGCAGAAAATGGCAATCTCGGCCTTGAAAGCCCACATTCTCCGGAATCAGAGCTCCCTGCACCAACTATGGCCGCTCAGCGTAACCAACGGTGGTCTCCGCCGTAGACAATCCAACGAGTTTCCTCTTCTTCCTCCACTCTCACATCCTATCCATTTTCTATCTCATCCTCTTCCAGTTCACAATTGTTCTCGCACTCCTCTCTCTACTTTTCTTCCTGTGCTCCGACGTCGTTTGCACCCTCTATCGTGTTCCATGTCCTCGCCGAGCTCCTCGCCGGAGGCCGACGGTACCTCCGCCGCCGGCGACAAAACGGTACGCGCTCTCTGTGGATGTAATTTGTTTAATCCTCTTTGCTCTGAATTAATTCGCATTTTCATTTGTGCGTGGATAACATTAGGGTTTTCTGAGCGACGTACAACTTTAGATGCGTGGGTTACTATCTTCAACAACTCTGCGGTTTGCTTGAATTTTACCCTCTTTTCAGCTATATGGTAACTAGAGTTGTTAAACAAAACTGGCCACTCGTGAGCTCGAGCTCTTGAAAATGAAATTTTTATATAATTTTATGTAGCTTGACTCGATAATATTGATAAACGAGTCGAGTTAAAGCTTGCTTTTTAGATCATTTAGCTGAAGAGTCGAGCCCGTTTATAACCATACTTCACTTGGGAACTTATCCACATCAAATGGCCCTTGATAACCTCTTAATGCAGGTGAAGGTGGTGATCAAGGGTAGGGTTCAGGGAGTGTTCTACAGGAACTGGACCATCGATAATGCAAAGGAATTGGGCCTGAAAGGTTGGGTCCGAAACCGCAGGGACGGGTCCGTGGAGGCCCTGTTCTCGGGAAGCTCAGATAAGGTTCAGGAGATGGAGCAGCGGTGCAGGCGGGGCCCTCCCGATGCTATAGTAACGGGCCTTCAGGTTGTTCCCTGCAGTGATGATCCCGGGCCCACGTTCGAGCGTAAGCCAACTGTTTAAGCAGATTATATGTGGTTTGAAGATAAATGGTGTATTTGTATTGATTCCCATCTTTATAGTAACTTTGTCTTTGTAGTCTTGTGAGGATGATGCTTTGCAATGTGTGGATATGTGGTTTTTATGAAAGTTATGAATAAAAGTCATTTTTGGGATTTAGTTTTTAAGGCTATGATCTTGTGGGATGATGCTGGTGAGTGGCGAAAAGGGATGTAAATGAGCCGAGGCGAGCCAAGTTGATGGTACTCAAGCTTGAGCCCAATCCTTAAACGAGACAGTAATTGAGCCCATGTTGGGCTCATTTATCAATATTAACGAGCTGAACTCAAGCCTTAATTAGTCGAGCTATAGAATATTTTATAAAAATTCCTCTTTTCGAGCCTTACCGAATCGAGCCGAGACGAAATCCTGCTTCGTATATCAAGCTTTAAACGCGTTCGAATTCACTAGCGGCTTGTTTTGTTTAACAACTTTAATGTCAATATCAAGGAAATGATCGAGACTAGTAATTCGAATGATCAATAACTGCAAATGTCCTATGTTAATATCTCTTCATATTTTACATAGAGATGCAACGGATAAATAATTAAGGAATCAGATTTTACATATATTCCTATAGGCAAAAGCAAATTCAGAGGATTTGCAGAAATTTACTTAACCTCTGAGCAATTATTTGTACCCACAGGCTCTCGTAAACATGTCGATACGGCCATCACAGCAGCTTCAATAGACGCGTCTTCTCCCTATTTAATACATCAAAATTCTCTTATCAGTATAATTATTACTCGATTAAAAA